TTCTTGTAATGAGATGACCTTTAAATGGAAAAGAATCCTTAATTCCATAAAATTCCATTATTCTATCAGTGTCATCCCTGTGAAAAAGAACTGGGTCAACTCCTCTCCACTTTCCTTGAATCTGTAGCTTTCTTGTACCCTTTGTCACTTCGGCACCAGTTTTTGTATGAGAAGGTTGGTCTTCCTCTTTCTCATTTTCTTCAGACAATAAATTACTGCCAGTATCCATAGCAGCTTCATCGATTCCATTCTCAAGTGTATCAGCATCAATAGTTGCTTCAGAAAGTCGATCCTCAGTGCCTCCGGTTGAATCAATTTCCACCCCATCTGAATCTTCTTTCACTGCCTTCGACATTGCAGCTCGAGCATTACTAGAATCCATTTTCCTTGGAAGACTGACAGTTTTTTTTTGAGTCTCTGCAGAGGTAAAGATAATGCGAATACTGTGAGTAAAATGCAAGATTAGGTAAAATACTACATCCTATTTTTGTTCTTCTTGTTAGACTTTGAATAAGAATTACAGAAGCAAAATAAGAACCTTGTCATCTTACAATTTTACGTCAGTTTTTTCAGAATTATCCCTCTTAGTAGAGTTGGTTATGACAGGGAAATACCAGCAATGAAACCAAAATATATCAGAATTCAGAAATCAGAACATGCTTGGGTAACCAACAAACCCTAACCCAGCAAGCACGAATTAAGATGGTGGGATAGATGTTGTTTAACTACATAATGCTAAGGCTGCACATGCATCTTGGTTTACGAAGTGACCAAGAAAGCCCAGTATTTTGGTCATGAGGCACTATCCTCATACAACGTTCCAAAGGTAGAGCCGAGACTTCTGCCTCCGAACTTTGAGTTGGAACTATAGGATAATCAATCAACTGGAGCCCATTTCCAGTACTCGCCTCCTTACCATTCTCAACCAATTCTGTAGTTACAGTTTCATGATCCTGCTCAGATGTTTCATCGTATGTTTTACCAGAGGGAAACATGCCTGAAGTAAGTACAGACCTCCGATATTTAGGGACGTCTATATAAGATGTAAACCAGACCCCTTTGTCTTGAACCTTCACAGCAAAATGGATTAATAGCAATTAAATTCTAAAGAATCAAGAAATAGATAATGTGGCTAGACAGTGATTTCTCTAAATATATATCAATAATCCACAATCGCTGCCTCCACAAGTATTTATGAAATGATTTTAGTAATGTTTAAAAAGACAATGGATACTGAGGCAGTTTTCCTAGGCGAGATGTAAGCCTCTCCGTTACAAATAAAAAAATAAAAAATCAAAATTGTTAACATGCCGAACAAACACATAATACATCAGAAAAATTAAAGTGTGCAAACAAACAAAAGACAAAGGGTAATGCTACTTGTACACC